AACTTTGCGTCAGACACCCACACTGAAGTTGGTCAAAGCCCCCCTGCGGAAAGAGCAGAAAGGGAGAGTGACAGCGGCTTGACTTCAAGACCTGCGATGGGGCCCCAACGGGGGGACAGTAATCGACGCAACTGCTGGCGCAGACGTGGGCGGAGCCAACCCTCCTTGAAAACGGGCGCCGATGCCAGCCAACGCCGGCGCAGCGGCTGGCGAAGGCATCGGCGTGCCCCATCGGCGCGGGCATATTCGAGAACGGCGTCAGCGTTGCCGTCGACGCACTGGTCGAGCGCAGGCCACGGCCCCTAACGGCTGCCCACTGCGCGTGGTTGAAAGCTTTGAAAGGGGCCCAAGGACACACAAATAAATACACACAAATAAAAATGTTCCCCATATTTTCCCATATTTTCTGGGTGTCTGTCTTCCCGCCCATTTCCCATGTTTTCCCATCTTCTCTGGGGAATCGAGGGTGAATTGTGTCCTCGAACTATTTTTGAATATGTTCTGGCCTTTTGGGGGTATTTTTGAAGAATCTGTTATTCTTCGTCGAAAGTTCCCCTGTAGGGGGATACGCCCGACATAAGAGTAGGCGTGACCCGCCAGCGACCGGATTGCAACCTGTGGAGATCTGTGGGCGGGAGAGCGGTGCACGGGCGGGGCGCGATGGGCGGCGTCGGAGGAGGGCATCCCCCCGCAGAGCCCGAACGCCAATCCACGGTCAGCGTGCCGAGCTGGAACGTGGGACGCTGAGAAGGGGGCGGCACGAGCGGCCGCCGGGAAGAGCAGCGCGAAGCAGGCGCAAGCGGCCCCCCAGATGTGGGAGGGAGAGCCAAAGCCCCCCTCCCTGGCACTGACAGGGCGGCAGGACCCGGGCGCCAGCAGGCCCCGCGCGCTCCGCGGATGGCTCGCAGCGAGTATAGGCATGCTCGCAGGTGGCCCGGCTCCGCCGCGAGGGGCCCACGACCCCTCTACGTCGGAAGGCGAGCCTGTGCTCCCCGGACGCCTGCGAGCGGGCACCTTGGCGAGCCGGTGGAGGGCGCTCGGTGGGCCAGCGCCCGTGCACGCGGGGCACGGCCCGCGCCCCCCGACCCGCCGAGCCGAGCCGGCCGCGCCCCAGGGGGGCGCCGCCGGGAGGGAGCGCGAGGCGCAAGGGCGCCGAGCCCCACGCCCACGGCACCCGGAGGGGGGCGCGCAGCCAGCCCGCAAGTGGTGCTGGGGGCCGGGGGGGAGCGGTCGGGCGGGGAGCGGGCGGCGCGCAGCAGGAGGGGCGGCACGGTCGGCCCGTGTCACGGGGAGGCGCGAGGAGGGTGCAAAGGGCCCTGGAGGGCCGCTGCGAAGCTTGCCGAGCGGGGCGCGGTCAGCAAGAGAGGCCAAGGAGGGGCCGAGGAGGAAAGGGGCACGCAGCAGCTGCGGACGAGGCCGGAGACGCGTGCCGACAGTCCTCGGCATGCGTCAAGTCGGGCCTGTCCCTCTACAGGGGGCAAATTCAAGAATAGTGAAGAACTATTCTGGGGACTATGTTTTGAATATTTTTGGGTATCTTTTGAATATGGTTTGAATATTCTATATATCCTTCGTCCAAAATTCCCCCTGTAGGGGGACAGGCCCGACCTAAGGCATGCGCGAAGGAGCGCGGCTGGTCGGTGGGGGCTCTCGCGGGGCAGAGCTCGGGCGGGGAGGGGACGCATGCGCAGCAGGCGGCCAGCGCCCGCAGAGGTAGGATGCCAGGGCCGCGAGTGGCCCAATGCGTCCGCCTGGGAGCCCCGACCGGGGCAGGCGCCCGACCGCGGGGGCGGCGGCGCTCTCGAGAAGGGCCGACGGCGACCAGAAGGCGCCCACGGCCTGCGTCGGCAGCCGTCGTCCTGGCAGACGGCCTGGCTGCCCCTGGGGCCACTGGGCCCGAAGGGAGGCCGTCGGAGGCCTGTTGGCCTGGGACCAGCGTTGGCGGCGCGTGCAAGGGGGTGGAGGGAGGGGGGAGGGCTTCTTAGAAGGAGGCTGCTTCTTAGAAGGCGCCAGCCTTACATCTGTAGAGAAGGCCCGCGCCTTCTAAGAAGCAGGGGTGCTTCTAAGAAGCCCTCCCCTCTCCCCCCCAACCCCCTCTGCGCGTGGCTGACAGAGTTGCCCTCGGGGTCTGTTCACCATCGAGCATCTTGCCGCAGAGGGCTGGTGGGCACACGCCCGCTTCATGGGGTGATCGCAGGTAGCGGGCCTGCACCCCAGGGGAGGAAAGGCACGCAGGTGGGGAAGGCGCTCCTCCTCCTCCTCCTCCTCCTCCTCCTCCTCCTCCTCCTCCTCCTCCTCGTCCTCCTCCTCCTCCTCCTCCTCCTCCTCCTCCTCCTCCTCCTCCTCCTCCTCCTCCTCTAGTCCTTTTCCTTGTGAATAACTCCTCCCTGTCACACCCCGAGGCCAGTCGAAAGGGCGGGCCGGGCGTTTCGCTTGAGAATTCCTCACCATGTCTGATCCTGAAGCTTGAAATTTACAAGAGCTCCACGGATTAAGGGCGGTCCGCTTTCAAAATGCGGCTCTTGCCTTGGCGCCGCGCACACTTATCATAAAAATGTCCCAGAGCTTCACGCATGGAGAGCGGTCCGCTTTCGACATGTGGCTCTCACCTAAGCGCCGCGCACAATATGTTTGCAAAGCTTGCAAGAGATACACGGTTCTCGCCTCAGCGCCGCGCAAATTCGTCTCAAGCGTTTGCAAGAGGTTCAAGAATTCCCATGGCGAACGTTCCAGAAATGGTGTTTGGGCACGATGTCGGAAAGTCAGGGCGCTTTAGTCACGTTATTTCGCGGTGTTGAAGTCCCAGGAATGGCGTGCTGGCACGATTCTGGATACGCAACGGTAACGGTGATTCGCGGCGTTGAAGTCCCAAGGATGGCATTCTAGCACAATTCCACGTTTTCAAATGCGACGGAGCATCTCCCTCAGTGAAACTGAGTCCGTGTAGAAGCCTATAAAGAGGGAACTTGGAGGGAGGATGTATTGCAATATCGTCAATGCGTCTTGGGTTTACATTGGTCCACTTCCTCGTCCTCCTCCTCCTCCTCCGCCTCTTCCTCCACCTCCTCCTCCTCTTCCTTCACTTCCTCATCCTCCTCCTCCTTCTCATCATCATCATCATCATCATCATCATCATCATCATCATCATCATCATCATCATCATCATCATCATCATCATCATCATCATCATCATCATCATCATCATCATCATCATCATCATCATCATCATCATCATCATCATCATCATCATCATCATCATCATCATCATCATCATCATCATCATCATCATCCGTGCCCCTCCTCACCGCCCGCATCATCTTCGGCGGGAGAGGGGCACGGGTGCCAGAGCCGACCCGGGCGGCTGCAAGAGGGGGAGATGAGAGCACCACCGAGAATCGCAAATGTGCGCGCGAGAAGCCTGGCGGCGAAGGTGGTGACATGAACACCCATCCCAAGGCTCTGACAGCTTGCCGATGCGCGGGGACACTACGTGGCGGTACCTGCGTTTCTGGCACTCATGGCGTTGGCCGTGGAAGGGTGGCCTAGACGGTGGTAGCGAGAGACGAACCGCTGAGCGGAGTGCCCGCTGGTCGGGGTTCAGAGTGCGAGCTGGCGCTGCACGTCACGGACGCGATCAGTCTCAGCCTGCGTGAGGGCTGGGCCAGAACATTTGACTTGATCAGGGTCCTTGGGACAGGGCGCGACGGGTCGCTCAGAGCCAGCGCACACCGCGTTCCCCGGGTGACAGCGAGTCACGCTGGACGAACAGAAATGAGCCAGGCACCCAGTGGCCAGCATGACCACCCAGAATGCGTCACTGGGTCCAGAGCGACCGACAACGGCGCCGTGGAGACCGTTGATGGGGTTCTGCGTCTGGCTGGTGGCGGCCACCGTGGTGCCGATCTGGATGAGGGCGGGTGCCCTGGGATCGCCCGGCAGGGCGACGTCATCCAACGGGTCCCAGCCGTCCTGCGCACCAGCCTTGGGCGCGAGCGCGCCCAGGTCGGCTGTCACGGGACTAGCCGGGGCTGTTGCCCATGCATCTCGCGGCGATGGGGCGACTGGGGCTGTTGCCCCGGGGGCGTGTGCACTGGCCCCGTTGGGCGGTGGCACAGCCTGGAGGCCGCCTGAGGGAGCGCCAGCGCGACTCTGGCCTGCACGGGCACATGACATGCCTGCGCTGGCTGCGGGAGCCGCGAGAGTAGGAGGGGGTAGAGGCGGAGGACCAAGAGGCCTCCAAGACGTCCCAGGAGGCTTCCAAGAGCACTCCCAACAGGGCCAAAGAGGCCAAAACCATAGATTTTCTTTCGGTTGTTGAAATACTTTAGCGTTCTCGCCATTTCGTCGTCCCGACGCTCCAAGACGGTCCAAAACGTATCCCCAAGACCACCTCCAGACGGGACGAGAGGTCCCCAGAGAGCGCCAAGAAGGCCCAAGAGGGAGCCGAGACGGCCCAAGAGGCGCCCAAGACGGCCCAAGAGGGCCCCAAGACGGCCCCGGAAGGGGCCCAAGAGGGGAAACCCAAACCGAAAATTCAAACTTTCCGCCCCAAGAGGGCCGCATGAAGCCCCAAGAGGCCTCCAAGAGGCCCAAAGAGGCGCTCACTAGGCTCCCAAGAGGCCCCAAAAGACCCCCAAGATGCCCGAAAGAGGCACCAAGAGGCCCCAAAACGGTCCCCAAGAGGCCTCAAAACTGCCTCCAAGAGGCCCCCCAGAGGCCACCCATCAAATCCCAACGAAGATCCTAGAGGCTTCGTACCCACAACCCCGGCACGGTTGCGGGATGGACCGAAGGCCATTCGATAAATAGAAAAAGAAAGAGAGAGAGAGAGAGAAAGGGAACAAAAAAAACTGTATTAGGGAGAAAGAGGAAGAGGCAGGGGAAGAGGAAGAGGGAGAGGAAGAGGAAGAGGGACTGACGCGAGAAGCAGGAGCAGCAGCAGGATCAGCAGAGGAACAGCGCGCGACAAGGGAAAAGCACCAAGATGCTGAGGGGAGATCCTTGCAGAAGCTCCACCACTTGGCCTTGGCCTCCCAGCCACGTTGCTGCACCTCCTGGCGAAGACGACAACCATTAGTCACGATCGAGGCCAATCAAGGGTCACAAGAGAAATGCAGAAGGGATGAGGGAAGAGGGAGCAGGTGATGAGGAGGAGGGTCCACAAGCTGTAACTGTCCCTGTTTTATCGGCACCCGCGCGTGGTCCGCCGGCCCCAAGAAGAGAGCGGAGAGGGGCGGAGGGACGAGGGCAGAGGAAGGAGATCCAGACACAGGGACGTCCACGTGGCCTCCCGAGCGCCCCTCACGAAGCCTGGAGGATCCAGAAACGGCGCGAGGAAGGCCAGGGGGCCACCCTGGGCCAGGACCACCACCTTTGGCGAGCTCCGATCGCCAATGCTGCCGTGGGGGAACAAACACACCAGGATCGGCGTCCGAACATCGACGATCGAGGTTTTTTGCTGTTGGACGATTCTGGCCCCTCTCGGGCCCCCAGAGGCTGGAGGTCTCCGGAGGCCCTTGGAAGCCCCCTGGGCCCTCCAGAGACTCGTGAACCGCCCTGGCCGTCGTCGTCGTTGTCGAGCACTCAGCCGGCCATCAACGTACCCACGACAATCCTCACGAAACCATGCATGGACAGCGTGAATCAGGATCATGCAGAGCACCAAATGTCGGGAGCGGCCAAGAGGGGGGTGTCCAAGAGGGGGGGGTGCAAATCATGACCGGCGGCATGTGCGCGGCCCAGCGGGGGGGCCAGGGACGTAATGAAGTAAGAAGAGGCGCCATGAAATCTGGGGAAAAATCATGGCCCCCGCCATGATATCCACCCCCCCCGTAGTCATCACCCCCCTCTTTTCCGCCCCCGAAGATGTCGTAGGCGTGCGACAGAGGTCGGGCCCTCGCGCAGGCAGGCCAGCGCTCCCAGAGCTTGTTCACGAGCTGCCGCCTCTCCGCATCCGGGCTGCCCCCCGTGTAGGGCCCTGCCGTGGCGTGCTTCTTGGGCACCTCGGCCTTGCCGAAGCCATTCGAGGCCTCGTCCACCATGGCCTGCAGGCCAAAAGGACTGGCAGATGCAAAGCAATTCTAACGCCGTACAAAGCCGTGCAGAGCCATGCAAAGCAACGCAACGCACCGAGAACCAAAACAGACCGACGCAGAGCAACAAGCCACGCAAAGCAACGCGAAGCACTGCAAAGCAGCGCAACCCAACACAAACACTGCAAATCGATGCAAGGCGATGCAGAACAACGCAAATCAATGCAAAGAAATGCGAGGCAACACGAAGCAGCGCAAAGCAGAGAAAAGCAGCGCAAAGCAACGCAAACCAACGAACATCAATGCAACTCAAAGCAATGCAATGAAATGCAACGCAAAGCAGTGGAAAGCAACGCAAAGCGGTGCAAAGCAACGAAAAACTATGCAGAGCTGTGCAAAATAATGCAAGCCTATGCCAAGCAAAGCAAGCAATGCAAAGCGATTCGAAGTAATGAGAAGTTACACGAAACTATGCGAAGCGATGCGAATCAATGCGAAGCAACGCGAATCACTGCGGAGCAGTGCGAAGCAACGCGAAACACTGCGAATCAATGCAAAGCATTGCAAAGCGGGCGGCAACCAGGCGGCAGGCGGGGACGAGGCGGCGACAGCGGCCACATGGCGGCCAGAGCGGCCCGCAGGCCCAGGCGACGGGCGGCGACGAGTGGCGACGCCGCGGCGACAACGACCAAATGGCGGCCCGAGCGGCCCCCAGGCCCAGCTCATTAGAAAAGCAATGGGAATCACTGAGTCAAAGCACTGCTTGCGATATATCTATATATATATATATATATACACATACATACATACATACATACATACATACATACATACATACATACATACATACATACATACATACATACATACATACATACATACATACACATATACATATACATATACATATACATATACATACATACATACATACACATACATACATACATACATACATACATACATACATACATACATACATACATACATACATACGTACATACATACATACATGCATGCATATATATATATATACACACACAAGTAACCCCCCGCAGTTGCGGATAAAAGTGAGGGGGCGGCGAAGACGTCTGCAGTCTGCGAGGCTCTGAAGAAGCCCGCCGCTGGCGCCGATTTTTTCGTTCAAGCAATGTGGGTGGGTCGCGGGTTGGGTCGCGGGTGGGTTGCAGGTGGGTCGCGGGTGGGTCGCGGGCTGGGTCGCGGGTGGGTCGCGGGTGGGTTGCGGGTGGGTCGCGGGCGGGTCGCGGGCGGGTCGCGGGGTGGCTCGCGGGCCGGGTCACGGGTGGGTCGCGGGGTGGGTCGCAGATGGGTCGCGGGCGGGTCGCGGTGGGTCACGGATTGGTCGCGGGTGGTTCACAGGGGGAACGACGACAACAAATGACAACAACAACAACAACAACAACAACAACCACCACCACCACAACAACAACAGCAAGAACAGCAACAACAATCCGTACCGCAGAGCCTCACTTCAGCCCCGCGCCCAAGGACTGTGAATGATCGTTCGGCTCCGTCGCTCTGATATATATATATATATATATACATACATACATATATATATCTAAATATAAAGATACATACTTACGTACGTACGTACGTACGTACGTACATACGTACATACGTACGTACGTCCGTACGTACGTGAGTACGTACATACGTACATACATACATACATGCATGCATGCATGCATACATACAAACATACATACATACGTACATACATACATACATACATACATACATACATACATACATACATACATGCATACATACATACATACATGCATGCATGCATACATACATGCATACATACATGCATACATACATACATACATAGCAATAAAAGGTGGCATAAAACGGCATAGGTACATATCCGCCAGCCCCCTTGTGGGGCCACCAGGCAGTAGGACCAAGGTTTGCTGTTACCTGCACCAGTTCCAGCTTCCAGTTTCCACTGTTACACTTCTGCTTCTTGCTGCTTACTGTTCCCTGTTGATGGATCGCGCGAGGGGGGGGGAGCCGAGAAGGAACCTAGCTACCACGCCCGAATCGCATTGTCTGAATTCTTGGGGCTCCTCCTCCTCTTCCTCCTCCCCCCCCCCTTGCTCCCCTCCTCTTGCTCCTCCTCTGCCTCCTCCTCCTCCTCCTCACCCTTTCATCTTCGTCGTCTTCAGGGTCGGCGGCACAGGCCATAAGGCCTTCGCAATCGCGAAGAAAACCAGGGCGAGAGCGTGATTCTTGAATGTTGGGGGTGCGGGGTTTCAGCGAATTGCAAGGAAGTCCGACGCGAGAGCGCCATTCCTGCACAGACTGAGGAAGCACAGTGCGAGAACGCTTCCTCGTAAATCGTGAAGCCGTTGTTGCTGCAGTTCGGGGGCCAGGGGCCAGGGGCCAAGTCTAAACAACAAAGCTTCCCCTTTAAAAAAACAAGGTGCGGGCCCCCGGAGGAGCAGAAACAAGGTGCACCGCATGGGGGGTCAACACTACTTCGTCTATAAAAATTAGAACTCTACAACAATAGGATAGGCTCAAGACTGTTCGCTCTTATATGCTCGAAAGCCACTCCACACATATCCCAAACCCTCGATACCCACCCTCTTCGTCTTCGATCGTACCCCACTTGGCGGTCTATCTTCCTGACCTGCCACTTGTAGTTGGCGCAGCACCTAAAGGAGGGGAAGAGAGGGAGGACGGAAGGAAAGGACAAGGGAGAGGGAGAAGGATGAAGCACGAGTGACAGAACAGGAGGGGGGTTAGGAGCAGACCACAAGTGGCAGAACCAGACGGGCGGGTCGGGCCCTACTGGCGGCTCGGGGGGGCGGGCCCACGCGGCCAGGTCGAGCGGGCGGTCGTTGAAGCGTCAGTCCTGCATGAATCGCGAAGAAATCTCAAATCTCGAGCGACAGCGCGATTGCGACAGTGCGATTCCCGAGCAGATCGTGAGGAATCCAAAACGAAAGCGTGACTCCTGAGTGCCGTGGGCGCGGCGTACGAACAAATTGCAAGGAATCCCCATACGGGAGCCCGGCATAAACTGCGAGGTAACACCGCGCAAGGGCGCGCTCGTGAAGAGACTGTAGGGAAATGTAGGACGCGAGACGCTGCTGCTGCAGCTCGGGGGCCAGGGGCCCAGTCCGAGGCTCAAGGCTTCCCCTGGCAAAAAAATGGTGTACAGGCCTTGGGAGGGAAGGGTGCACTGGAGGGGGCGACAGCCAGAATCATTCTTTAGAACTACGAGCTCAACAACAACAACAACAACAACAACAACAACAACAACAACAACAACAACAACAACAACAACAACAACAACAACGACGGCAAACGCACACACACACAACCACACACACATCGCAGAAGAACATGCGATGAATGAAACATGTCCGTGGATGCAGAGACCCGTATGAACGAATACTTCTGGACTCGCGCACGAGACGAAATGAGTGCTCGCACACTGCATCCAGCGATGCCTGGATAGCTGATCATCGGCACCACGAGTTGGGGCCAGTGGTGGCATTGGAATTACATGCATGTGCTGGCAGACCCTGGATGGCCGCTGTGCTTGCGAAAGGAACCGATGCAAATTCTGAATAGATTCGCCACAACACGAGAAGCAACCACCAGCTGGATGCGTGAAGCTAAAATGGAAAGCACACGCACAGACGCACATTGAGAGCAGAAGCGGGCATGCTGGCATCACGTCCGTACGGTGAAAGAACTGCGCAGAGCAGAGTCCGAAAAAATGGGCGCGCCTCGGCCAGCGTCGAGAGTCCCGGGCTTGGGCCAATATAGCTGCCAGCGCGCGCCGCGTGCAGCAAGGAATCCCACCAGCCCTTTGGGCGCCAGTGGTCGAGGGCTCCAGCTCTTCCAAGCCCCTCCCATGCGGGGAGGGGTTTACCCCTCCCCTCACCCCGCGACGGAAGACTCCCACCCTTTGCCTATGGGCTGGATGAGGCTCTTCTGGTTTGCTGGTGGGGCATCCTGCAGAGCTCTCGACAGCCTCTTGGGGCGCCTTCGGGGTGCCAGGCCAGGTACATTGCAATGCGCCGTCCCACCGAGAAAAAAAAGGTGGCGGAGCTTTTTTTTGTTTTTTCCCTTGCTCCTTTCCTACCCTCCTTCAACTTCTCCCCGCCTTTTTTCCCCTGTGTGCTGTCGTTCGTCGCGTCTCGCCGTCGTTGTCGTCCGACGCCCCCTCGTCTCCCTCTCCCTCTCCTCCTCCCCAGCCGCTCTGCGTGAAGAGCAGGGTGCGCGCTTCGCGCCTCGCGCAGGGCTCTGCCCTCCCCGCTCGTCCTTTGCCTCCTCCTCCCCCGTCGATTCCCCTTTCTCTTCACCCCCTCTCCCTCCGTGGCTCTCGCCTGCCGCGGGCGCGCAGCTTGGCGCGCCCCCTGCCGCGGGTGTTTCTTGTCGGCAGGGTGTGGGCGACACGGACTTCGGGGGTCATTTTGCGGAGCCCGTTCCTTAGAGGCCCGCTGAGCATGTGCGTAGCCGGAGCGGGCAATCGTTGCTACCGTTTGCGAGCTCCGATGAGGCAGTGTCAGGCGGGGGCTTCATTTGCGAGAGAATGGCGAGGAAGTCTCAAGCGGTGGCCTTCTGTCTATGGGGCCCGCACTTCAGTTTCAGTTGGCGCTTTAAGCGGTTCATGCTTTTTTCAGGTTCGAATTTTGAAGACGTGTCAGGCGGGGGCGTCGTCTGTGAGGCTGCGAGGAAATCTCGACCAGGAAGACTCCTCTATGGGGTCCCCATTTCCACGTTGGAATGCGAGCGGGCCGCCGGCAAACCTGCAAGCTGGAATCCGACGGGGCTCTTCCGGCATGCCTGTGGAGGAAGTCAGGTCGGTAACATGTCGACCAGGGGAGTTCTTTGGGAGGGCGGAGGAACGTGCCGTGCGCGCGTGGAACATGCTGGTCCTGTGGCCGCCATCGCGAAAATTTTTGGAGCGCGGGCCGCCGGCGTCCCTGCGGAAAAAGCTCCGACTCGACGAGGGGGCTGCG